TCAATCATTGCTCACTTTTTAGCAGAAATAGTTTTCTATGACCTCGCTTTCTTTCTACTTTCTGGTTTAACTTATCCTTTAGTTACTTCAACTGTTTCATCCTCAACGAACCCCCCTTTGGAAAATTATAATCTGACCCCATGGTATCTTTTTAGTTTTTGCCGAAACTATTCCTCTTTTTTTAAATGCACATTAGTTAAAGGTGGGGTAGGTAAGTTTGAGAAACCGGCTCGAGATACACTTTTTGTTATATTCCATGGAATGCTCTTAACATCCCGATAGCAATGAATATCTTAAGTGCTTTGACAAAAAATCCATAAAAAAAGTTCACCTATGGAAGCCGTAGTACTGTAAAAAGCACGACCAATCATTTGAGCCGGCCTGGCTAAAATGATTGGATGGCCTACCTGTCTGTCAGCCTTCCATCTGTGCACAAACTTATCTCGTGCCCTCATTGGTCATGTGCGCGTTCGTGTGTGTTGGAGGAGGGGCTCTGTAAGGAAGTGGCAGATTTTCTCCGGTTGTGTATTTTCAAATTCTAGCGATCTCGAGCCGGTTTCTCAAACTTACGTAGATGTATGTAGAAACCAGCTCGAGTGCGCTAGAATTTGAAAATACGCAGCCGGAAAAAATCTGCCCCTTCCTTCAGACTTCCTTACAGAGCCCCTCCTCCAACACACACGAACGCGCACATGACCAATGAGGGCAAGAGATAAGTTTGTGCACAGATGGAAGGCTGACAGGCAGGTAGGCCATCCAGTTATTTTAGCCGGGCCGGCTCAGATGATTGGTCGTGCTTTTTACAGTGCCACGGCTTCCACAGATGACATTTTTTTATGTATTTATTGTCAAAGCATTTAATGTATTGATTGCTATCGGGATGTTAAGAGCATTCCATGGAATATAACAAGAAGTGTTTCTGAAGTGAATTACCTACCCCACCTTTAAGTTTACCTTGTCTTTCTAGGACCTTTTTGGTAAGACTGCAGAACACCTGAGCTCTGTAAAGTGCCCCGATCAACATTCACCTGTTTGTCATCTTGCAATCTACTTATTTATATAAATAGTTATCACCGCAATAAACCGTATTTAATTTTGTCTTAAAGTACATTATTTAATTTCACATTCTGTTCTTGTATCATATTCTATTGACATGTATATAGAATTCTTGCACTACTTTTTATTTGTATTTTATTTTACATGTTGCATTGTTGGAGGAGCTCAGGTCAGAAGAATGTCATTGTTATTTCTACACGGTAGCTTATGTGCATATGACAATAAAACCTTTGAGTCTTTGAATATATACATTTATTTTGTTCTTTGTTTTCAGAACCTCCTGAGGTTTCCCTCTCAGAGGAGAAGTTTGTTTTGAAGACGGACCCGCCCCAGACGCTGAGCTGCCACTGCTCTAAATATTATCCACTGGATGCTCAGGTCTGTCACTAGATTTATTTCATTTCATTTAATCGTTTATTTGAAGAGGGACGATGCATATTGATGAACATTTAAGACAAATAATGCTTTAAAACGTAAATATGCCGGATTTTAGCTTTGAGCTAATTTCCATCCGTAGTCCCTGAAATACAACATTTAAGAACATGACATTTATAAACATAGCAAAAATAAATACATGCTATGCAGAAAGAGCATGAGCAGCATACAAGCATTTACCACATGGCAGTACAATGTAGCAGCTACGACATATAAAGTGCAAGAAAAGATAAGTGCTACCTAAAGTGCAAGAGGAGATACCCCTGTGTTAAAGTGCATTTAGCGGTGATTGCACGTCTGTTTGTTTCTCAACCGTTCTCTGAGTTGACCTTTAAAACTATTGAGAGTGGGACAATCCCGTATCTCAGTTGGGAGGCTATTCCACAATGAGCTGCCTTTAATGGAGAGGACATTTTGTCCGAAAGTGGTCCGTCTGCGGTGGACTTCACAGTCTCCTCTGGTTTCTGACCTAGTGCAGCGTCCAGTGTGTTTTTTGTGGATGAACATTTATAAAAAAAACACATACTTTTAAAAGACTTAAAATTGTCAAAACTCAAGAAATTGTGTTTATCAAGGATGGTACAGTGGTGGTATGAATTAGGCTTTCTGTCAAACACCTTGATATCTCTCTTGTACAGCTGTTCTATTGGTTTCAGGTTTGTGGCACAAGCAAACGACCAGTTTGTCAAACAGTATTCAATGTGGGATAGAATCATACAGTGGAGGTATGACTTTGCAGCATAGACAGTTAAGAAAGGTCTAATTTGTTTAACATTTTGCAAGTTGAATTTAATGGTATTTGAAACTTTCTTAATATGTTTCTTAAAAGTCAAGTTCGAGTCCAGTATGACTCCAAGATACTTGAAGTGGGAGACTACTTCTATTTCTGCTCCGTTTAAAAACACATTGGATCCTTCGAATTTGACTGGTCGTTTACTGAACATCATGCATACTGTTTTTTTTGCATTTAACTGTAAGCAAATGTTGTTCAGCCAGTATTGAACTTTGTCCAAAGCATTTGAGAGACAGGATGAGATAATTTCAGTGTTTTTCCCGTGTACAAAGATGACCGCATCATCGGCATACATTTGCACATTCAACCCAGGACATACATTAGGCAAGTCATTAATGTACAGAGAAAACAGTAATGCTCCAAGAATGGAACCTTGTGGAACCCCAACAGGGTTCACAAGGTAGGGGGATTTGGCTCCGTTGACCAAAACACACTGTTTTCTGTTTGATAAGTAAGATTTAACCCACTGTATTGAATCTGCCGAAAAATTGAAATACGTCAGCTTTGTAAGGAGCACTTCCTGAGATCAAGGAAGACAGCACCTACATATCTCCCTGCTTCCACTCCTACTGTTCCCCCTACTATTATTAGTAATACGACTTTATTATTTGCTTGTTCCCCATGTAAAGCGGCCTTGGGTCCCTTGAAAGGCGCTATACAAATTGAATCCATTATTATTATTATTATTATTATTAATATTAAGATTATAGCACAGTTTGATTGATTGATTGACAGGCCATCTCACTGTTCTCCCTCCTCTCAGATTGAGTGGTGGTCCCTCTCTCCTGAGGACTCGGAGCCCAAACTGCTCCTGGATCAGGGCTCTCTCTCCAGCCACCGGCAGCACGGAGACGGTTCCTACTCCCTGTCCTCTCACCTGTCTGTCCCCTCCAGCGTCTCCCCGGGGACCAGGCTCACCTGCAGGGTGTCCCACCAGGCCCTGGACGCCCCTGTGTCTCTCACTGTTGTGGTAGAAAGACCAACACAAGGTAATAATGTGTTGCTGTTGCTGTGATGTTGTTTAAAGTTAATAAGAGAAACTTTGACAAAAGCAGTAATGTTTCAGAAACCCTCTTGTTTTACAGCAGCAGGGTTTAAGACACCCTGGTTCTTAACTACAGTTTTTCACTTGACCATCATTTCCATTTAAATGACACAAAACCAATATTATTTTCCAAACCTTCATGTTAACTTACCCATATTTAAAACAATTTAGCAATTTGGCATCAATAAAGTATGACTAATCTTGTCTTATCTAATATAAGTTTAAAATATTATATAAAAATACCATTAAATGTGTCATGATCATAGCTGTATTTTTTTTAATAGCTTCAATGTCATGTGACCCAGTGACTCCAAATCCATACCAGATAATATTACTACACCAGACAAATAGGGCAAAAACACATGGAGACAATTAGAAGCTTAATTGAACTTTTCCTTAATTTAAAGGGGACCTATCATGCAAAATGCACTTGTGTACGTCTTTTATACATGAATAGTTCCAGGGAACTCACCAAGTGTCAGAAAACACAACCCTCTCTATTTTCCTCCATACCCAAATCTCTAAAAAAGGGGCTGCAACGGATCTGATAAAAACTGATCCAGATTTGAACACTGTCCTGACGTCAGGACGGTGGCGCTACGGCTATTGGGCCAACTCCACCAATCAGGAGGAGACAGCCACGGCCATTGCCGTTCGAAAGCGCTGGAGACGCTGTAGTACATATGCCAGGCCTGTAGATGGTGCTGTTCTCACTGAATCTGCCCTTGCTAAAACAGATTTAAAAAATGTCAAATTGAGCAAAATGAGGCATGGCTAAAATGCATGATCTGTTTGGTATTTTGAAAAAAAAAAAGTATAAATATGCCTTATATAGGTATGGTCCTACACTATATTATTCAAATATAGCATGATAGGTCCACTTTAAATATGATCAAATATAACACACCTCCTTTTTTGGGAATTTTAAGTGTTTTTATGACTAATGGTCATCTTTATTTGTCCTACCCCAACCCTCCCTTATATTGTAAAGCCACTTTGATTCCTAGAAAAGCGCTATTAAAATATGATGTATTATTATTGCATTGTAGTCCACTCTATATTTGATCAGAAAGTGTATCATCAAATATCTTATGTCTTGAGAGTTGCTTTACAGTACATACTGTGTATATCTTCTCTCTTCAGGCTCCTACTGGTGGGTCCTGGGTTTCCTGATCATCAGCGTGCTGTTCTTCCACCAGGTCATGACATAAATAAGGATTTATTCTAATAGATAATCCTGACTTTAAACTGAGCCCAGAGAGATTTCCTCTTGTGAGTCTGTAAGTTATTATTAATTTAATTAGAAGCTGTCACTGGTTCTTTCGACTCGAGGGGTTAGACTTTCTTTTTGGATATAGTATTCCTGTTTTTGCACTATTTCTTTTTAAATTGGTACTTGTATTTGTTTGTTTATGTGATGGCTTTTTTTTTAGCTTTATTTTCCATTTTGTTTCTCTTTTTGTAATGTACTTTTCACAATGAAGGATTATGTGACTCAACCAGATTGATTGAGGTGTTTGACATGATCAACTTCAGTACATTTCTAGTGTAATATCTGTAAGCTTTGTAAGAAAACTGGCATCACTTAGGAGTATATATTGTGAAACATTTTCCAACCAGGTCTAAAATGTCTCGATGTGTCAGGAGAATAAAACAAAGGTCAGCACTCAGTTGTGTTGATGATTTATTTATTGGCATCAGCAAAAGTGGTAAGCATGCATTTTGTTTTTCAGTTGCATCTTCTTACTGCATTTCCCGGTTTTAAATCCCAAAACATGTTCTCTTATCTCCCGTGGCAACAACCTGATAACATCGCTGCACAATATCATCAGATAATTACAACTAACTGCTACATTATGCATCTTCATTTAATCAACTCTCAAAATTAGCTTTTACTTTTATATCCCCCCCATAAAACCTGAAGAGTTCATAAACACATGTTCAGGAGAATAATCTGACATGTGTGCTAATAATCAATCCATACAATACTACATGGTTTTTTTACAGCTCACTATAGAAGCAGTTGTTTGCAGTCTGAGAATATAATTTTGAAAGTGAAATTAATCAAATGTTGGCAAACTCTTGAGCATCATTGCATTGCATAAGCGTAATTTTTTTAAGATCAGAAAGACATATACACAGGTCCTTTAAACCACTAACAAAATAAAATGTACAATCGGCAGTTAGGTTCAGAAATGGCAGATACACAGATCACACAAAAAGGCAAAACTATGGACACGGTTTGCCATGCAAGTTAGAAACACCTCATGTTGCGTGAGTCTGTTTTTTAAGTGAGTGGGGACGGGAGGTGGATCTGGGTTTCTAAATCATGTCCTTTTCCCCCATTTCCCTGCTTTTTCAACATCAAACTAACTTATTATTTCAGCACAACTTGTACAAAAGTTGGCTTTTGTACCAGTTTTCTTTTTTTAAATGTGACGCTTCACATCCACCTGTCTATGGCTGTGTCCAAGTCAGAGTAAAGAGTCCTCCTTCAGTTCATGTGTACAGTAGATTGTCTGTTTTTGATAGTTGTGCACATCAATATGCCACTTAGCATAACAATAACACAATGCTCCCACCTGTGGTACTAAAACCAAGGTCAAATGAAGCATAGTTATGCAAGTCATTTATCAATAATTGCTTATGTGTCCAGAATTTGAAGTCCAGATGTTGCTTTTTCAAAAGAGGGAAACATTCTTTCTACTTCCGCCTGAATAACTTCCCTTTTTTACATTTGTCCTCTTATCATAATCACTGAATGTTGCAGAAAGGAAACCAATACAACCAGCTATCTCCAAAAAAAGCTACTTGCTACAATACTTTGGATCACAAACACACACACACACACACACACACATACAACAAAAATGCTTTTCTAATCTTAATCTATCATGACCGTGTGTTAGTAAATAGGGATGATGGGAGCGTTGTGAGAGAAGCAGTCTGTTAGTATCAACTTACAAATGTAGGAACGTCCAAAAAAGGTAATATGAACAAGCTTTGGCGTATATCTGGGGTCGAAAGGACTGCAAACTGTTCAATCTCCCTGCACACACTCACCGTCTGCACATGGTACACCCCCCCCCCTCATGGTACAACCCCCCTCTCATGGTACACCCCCCCTCTCATGGTACAACCCCCCCCTCATGGTACACCCCCCCTCATGGTACAACCCCCCTCACATGGTACACCCTCCCTCTCATGGTACACCCCCCCCCTCTCACAGCCATGTTTTACAGGACTTAGCCTCGTGTGTCACAAGAATTTTCTCCCTCCCTTCTTCCCTTCCCTTCTTCCTCTTTCCCTCCGCCTGCTGCGTCCTTCAATAATGCATGAGGGGCAGAGACAGGACGCCAAAACAGTGGAAGAAAGCAACAAGGAGAGAGGGAGGGAGGGAAAGAGGGAGGGGGGGGGGACACCTATAAACTCTACTGTCGTCACGTATAAGTGCAAGATGGTTTGATGGAAGACTGTGAAGAGAGGAAGGATAAAAGGGGACGAGTGGCGCTTGGGAATCTTTTTTTTTTTTCTGCTCTTTCCTCTCATATCGTTCTCAAGTCCATATCCATCTGTATTGATGGGCTGAGCTCAGTAGAAGAAGTACACTGTGAGGAAGAGGAAGAGGAGGAGGAGGAGAGAGAGGAAGTCATTAGTCTAATGGACCTGGCAATACATCATTCATACATCAGAACAGGTGAACAGCTGAGCTCTCCTTATGTTGTGTTTACAGGTTTGTTTTTTAGTAAAGAACTGCTAAATCTGTAAACATTATTTACTGTCATAATAATGGTCGTGCAACCCTAACCCTGTGAAATTAAAGAGACCCTGCTATGCTTTTGGGGGTGTTCCCTTGCCTATAGGTTTTAGTGCATGTAAATGGTCTGCAAAGGGTAAAACCCCCGCCTTGCCTGAATCACATCTATTGGACTCCAACATAGACATACATCACAACAGAGCCGGCCAGCTAACCAATCAGAGCAGACTGGGCTCTGGTTTCAGACAGAGGGTGAAAATATGTACTTAATTAGCATACTAGGGCTCCTTTAACAATGTCTATACAATATATTATCATATGAATTGTGTAATACCGGATTACTTTCTGCTGCTGTGACAAAACATTTTCCCAATATTGGATGAAAAAATATTTCTAATCTAATTTAGTATAGCCGAAAACGTGATTTGTTTAACAATAAACTCCAGTTGACCTTCCCAATTTTTTGTAAACTCATCGGTCACAGCCTCTGCAGGGGGAGCATGGAAGTGATCATTCACAAAAAAAGTGATTTTTAAAATGATTACATAAGTAGCTTAACTGTTCTTAACAGTATGTCATAATTCATATTCATATTCTAATTATACATAATAAAATAAAAACTCAACGGATCCAACAATATGAGTAATTGCCATTTACAGAATAACATTTTCAATATTATTCTTCCTCTGTTGCTGAGAGGAATTGATAACAAACACTTAATGGTAATCCGCTTTTTTAATACTCTTATCTGTTTATAAAAGCTTACAAATCTGTCGTTCAATCAATAAATCAACCAGTATTTGTATTACAGTGAAGATGCTACTTACAGAATAGTATTCCAACCACAATGACTCCAATGATCCCCATCATGATCATCATCTGGAAGGAGAAACAAAGATTTAAGTGACGTTTTAAACCCTTAAGGGACATTTAAGACAGACTGTGTCTGAGTGCAATGCCTGCAGACAGAAAAGAAACAACAAAACAAAACATGGAACGCACTGTAGTCTGTAGTGGAAACTCTACAATATTGTTTTCCCATGTTCCCTGAAGCATCTGCTCCAGTTTCCACAGCAGCTCATTAACAGATCAGTGTGTGGAGAGCAGGGTCCTCCGAGCAGACCCTGTGTGTTCGCCTCAGCGCACCTCAGCATGAAGGCTTTAAAAGACAAGAGCTGAGGATCTAATCCACACAAAAAGCTCTTTAAATTACTAAATGTATAACAAAAAGACTCATTGTAAATGCAGACATCATTCACAATGATTTCAGTAAAAAGGACTCGCCCATAGACGTTATACATATTTATCATATCATCTGTATACACAGTATGTAAACATGACCTCATTCTATTGTTAATTTATACTAATACCTACATTATGTATTCCTTTCATATGTGTCCTCTAACCTGCCCTATCCTGTGTTCCCTTCCCTCTTATTGCTGCTATGACACCTGAATTTCCCGACAAGGATCAATGGAGGTTTTATTTAATGGAGCCCGGCTAAGTGCCCACCTTGCAGTTCTTCCACCAGTACTTGTTCTTTAGCTTAGCTGCGCAGCTTTCAAACTGGGAGGCCCCGGCTTGGAGAGCATCCGCTCTGTCATCCAGCTCCGAGAGCTTCTGGTCCCTTTCCAAAACCTTGTCCACGTTCACGCGCATGATGTCCACCACCTGGCCCACAGCAGCGAGGATGAGACAGCATTTGGCAGCGGTTAGGGAAGAAGAAAGAGAGAGAGGATGACAAGGGGGGTTATAGAAAAGCTTCAAGAATCAAAGGTGTTATTGTCCTATGCGCGATAGCTGCAGCGTAGTCGTTGGGGATAAACGTCAAACAGTGCTACATATGTGCAATAGATACAATAACATAAGAGAAACAACAAAGCGTGTTTTCCTGTGTGTCCCTAGTAGAGTATAAGCATTAACAGTAAGTCCACATGAGGGTGAGACAGCATTTGGCCGCGCTGAGGGAGAGGAGAGACGTGATGACAAGGGGGGTTATAGAAAAGCTTCACGATCCAAAGGTGTTACTGTCATATGCACGATTAGCTTTAAGTGTAGTCGTTGGGAATAAGAGTCCCAGGCTCTTCTAACAGTGCAACATACTAAATACTTAAAACATGGAAGAAATAAGGAAGTACATTTGTACAAGTGATATGCAGGACTAAGTAAAACTATGTGCATGTAAGACAGCAGGAAGGACGCTAAATATAATAAATGAGGGTTAATGAGTCGTTGCATCCATTTGCTAATTATTTTTGGCAAATATATAAAAAATAAGAGCAGCAACAAATCATTTTAGAAGCGCAGTACGTTTACAGTAAGTCTCCATGTGTCATGATTCAACTGCTTTTATTTTGATGCATTGAATGTAACATCTATAGCTCTGGCCTGGTTCAGCTCACCTCATCCACTTGGGTCTGTGTCTGCTGTAGCCTGCGGTTGCTGGAGGTGTTGGGGGGGGCGGGAGGTCCTCCGCCGGGGGCTCCATCGGGCCCGGGGGCTCCTGGAGCGGCAGCATCTGGGGCAGACCTGGGAGGAAGAGAAACGAGGAAGAGGAACTGACGTGAAGAGGTGTTCGGAGGATGGATGCATGTATGAGAGCTTCATTGTAATCCAATACGGAAAGTGCTGAAAATAAGATTCTCGTGTGAAGAAGGAAATGAGGAAATAGGCCTTTTTTTCTTGACATAGAGGAGGGATGAAGACACCACATAGCAAAAAGTAGGAAATTGCTTAGTATGCATTGGAGTGGATAAGGGGGAGGAATGCAGATAATGCAGATGCAATTGGATTAAAGGAAATATAGGCCACGGCTCCGAAGAAGAAAGAGAAAGTCCTGGTTTTATGATAGGGGAGAGAAAGGGGAAGCTCCTGTGATGGATTACAGACCAAAAAAGGAAAGCAGGAGAGTCAATTTTGGTAAAGGGGAAAGGGTTAAAGGAGTGGGGGGAGAGGAGGAGGTTCAGGGGGTTTCAAACTGAGCAATGAGTGATGCACAGTTTAAGATAAATCACATTTACTGCAGGGCTTAAAAATTATTTAGCAAAACATGAATTTCCTCATCCATTGACATGAGCAGGTGATGGTGGTGACCTCCAACCCTCTGACCCACAATATGCTGACTAACACATGTATTTTATTGTTAAATCTCTGTTGTATCTTTAAAGAAAAGTCAATGTAACTACACCTAAGGCTTCACAGTGGCAGCAGTCCACCCATGAATGCATAATTTAGTGCTGGTGTGACGGAACATTTCACTTGCGTCAGCAAAATCCATCAAGCTGAAAGAAATCACTTCAGTTTCCAACCCCCCACCAGAGAAAAACATGCAAGAAAATAACCTGGTTTGAATATATATTTAAACAGAGAATGTGTAATAGGTATTTGTAATGATGCTATTGGGAAAAGAGCGCAGCAGAAAAGCCGCATTAATACTCACATCTTCTATGCAGCTGTTTGACTCACAGACAGGAGGAGAGGGAGGCTCTGAAGTACAACCCGAAAATAAGAAGCAAGAAAAAACAGGAAAGATCACAGGAACAAAACAACTAGACAAGGATTTCTAGGCACTGCTCCAAAGGAAAGTCAGAGAAATTCAGTTAGCGAAGCGAATAAAGTGCCGCGCGGACAGTAAACAGGCGGAGGGTCTTTGCGCAGTGATCTTCTAGCGATGCATTTATACTGCAAGTCGTCAGCAAAGTACCGCAATACACCGAGACACGTAAAGGGCCGGGCGATAATTCACTGTGAGGCTGCACGGGCGAGCAGGAAGTGAAGTGGAGCGATGCGACCTCAGGAGAAAAGTACTTCTAAATGATAATCCATGTAAGAGAGAGGGATCCGCGGAGGGTTATTATATTCCTGCAGGGCTGCATGCAGCTCCTCCGGTCCTGATGCTGAGAGGAGGCGCTGATTGGCTGCTGGAGGTTGAGTTTCCTCTTCTAAAAGCTACTGGCAAAAACATGCAATTTCAAGACGAAAGGGGAAAAAGTCCAATCATGTGAAATGAGTTGTCTTTCTGTTGATTTCTGTCACCCCCTACCTCTCTCTCGCTTTCTCCGTGCGCCTTGTGTGAAGTGCGGTAGTTTGGGTTGTGTGTGTGCTGCAATAATGCGTCTCTCCTCCTGCCTTTCTACACTTGGACTCGTAACGACAGTGCGGTACCCCCCTCCTCCCTCTCCTCCTCCCCCCTCCTCCCCCTCCCTCGCTGCCTGCACACTTTGCAGTACTGCAGCTCTCTTTGTGGGGCAGGACGACACTGCGGTACAGTGGAGAGGCTCCACAGCGCAGGGCCGTGTGCACACTGTAACACTGGGGAGGCCCTGACCTGTGCGATACAACCCGTGTGCAATATGTGCTGTTGACTAAAATAGGGTTTGTTTTGTTTTGTCTTTAATGCATTCTGTATTGTATTATTTACAATGTATGCTTTTATGTATGAAAATGTAGCTTGTTTTGTATGTCTGTGAAATGCTTTCACTTGCAGGCTTCAATAAATAGTAAATTACTATTATCAAGTGAAAGCATTTGACAGAATTGAACGATCAATAAACACCTTCAGTCTTGCCTTATGCATTTGTGGCATGAATCAATCGTTCAATAAAACTTGATTTATATTGCAATTTTAATACAAGGTAACACAAAGAGCTTCACAAACCAAAACCAAAAATAAAACAATACTAATATTTTCGCATTTTATTTTTTTTCAGTTTCTTTATGAAGTTATAAACTTTGTGGTTTTATGGAGAACATATTGCATGTTTTTCATTTATTTAGATAAGATTTTTTTTCATTGATATAAACTCTTCAGGAAAAGGAAAAAAACATCACAGATGCACTTTGTGACGAAAACTAAATAGATAATCTTGTCTGAATAATACTTTGTACTTTGGATGCCCAAGAGAACATTTCTATTTTAGACGAGCGTTTACCAACCTTTTTAACTTGTGATCTTTATCAAGAAATTATTTTTTCACAGGTACCAAATGTCTGAGTTACAACTAGGTTTTAGAGTATAACTAATCAGTCTTTCACGATAACTAAAAACAGGGTATATGCAGGAATCCTGAAGTCACATGTAAAACCTTTTAAGACCTTTTTTAAGACCCTTTCCATACATTTTAAGACCTCATCGCCACTTGGAGTTCTAACCGGTTACATTGTCGACACACTTGACCCCACATTGACTATATACAGTATTGATTGTCCTTCCTCATCTTCCAACCATTTGGACACAAACTTGCATTTCCCCATAACGATGTTGTTTAACAACCGGCGTAAACGGACCTTCGCGCGCTATCAAGCAGTGAGCGTGCGATGTCCTGTTCAGATGACATCAAATCCAACGGGATGCCATAAATAAACTAACAGAATCACACTACACACCTACGCAATGATTACATTCAGGCAGACTGTAGAATACAACCTCTTTGGACAATTTATATACTTATTGAAAACTAGCTACAAAATGGAATACCTTGGAAAATGCCGTTTAATACTTTTTAATAGCCTTCATTTTCGCTAAATTGATTTATCAACTTTTAATACTTTTAAGACCCCGCGGACACCCTGAAAAAAGCATAGATTTTGCAAAAGGGCACAGAAAAGCACTATTTGTATTGCAGTTACATTTGTTATGTCAAGACCAGTAAGATTCATCATTGAGATTCTTTATTATTTAAACGGTTCTTTTCATCCTGGCCTTTAACTTTGAGCCTTTTCTTTGATACTAGTGACAGGAACATCTATCTGATAGCAACATGTAGGAGCCATGAAACATGTATAGTAATGTGTTTTATTTTAATATAAGATTTGTTTGATCACTATTGATTGGTTGGCTTGGGTCACATGGATATGGGCGGCACTCATTATAATCCTGTTCACCTGCGTGAGGTGTGTGTGTGGAAGAGAGGGTGACACAGGGCCGTTGTACTGTGTCACCCTCAGTGACTGCAAGATTTATGAATGCTTTGATCATAATTATTACAATGTCTGATCACCGCGTATTTTTCATTAAACTACATTACAATTCAACAGAGTTTTGATCTCAGCATGTACTCTTTTTTTAGCGTGTCATACAATATCAAACCGGCCCGGCCTCAGCGACTTTGTTTCCTGCTGTCGCTATACAACATTTTTAGAAGGAAAACACACAAGGCTTCTTTTCCAGTCCATTATTAGACTTTTATATCATTTTTTTGTGATAGTTAGGAAAAAATAATAGATTAACTGAAATACACAAATCTTCTCTTGACATGAAGAAAACATACAAAAAATGGCAATACACAACACGTTTACAGCATGGCATCCCACAGCTGTTCTCCGTCAGTTCGTATTGGCTGCTCAGATGTTTTTAACGGTATTTGCCGGTGCGGTTGTAGCGTCTGTAGAGAAAGCGGATCCTCTTCTCCAGGTGCAGTTTGTCCTCAGTCATCATTCGGTCTCCCACCATCTTCTTCTTCCTGGTGAGCCGCTGCAGCTCGTTGCCTCTGAAGCCCTTCACCCAGGACGGACCGATGATCATGTCTTTGGGATGAGCTTTGAAGTCTCCTGCAGACACAAAGTGAGAAGATCAGAAAATGTCAGCAAGGCACTGCCGGATGTGGGATGCTAAATCAGCCTAGCATTAAATGTTTATAAAGGTTATTTTTTTATAAAATGAATCCAAAGCAAATGTTCTGCAGTTGTTGGGAATTTAGTAAGACTGTATTGGAAGCACTCTCACTGCTTCTCAATTTACCTTTTTTTAAATGTTGTCTTGTAACTGAAATCATCACACAGTGTTTGGTTATGGTTCTGCTACACTAACAATCAAATTCAACATTTGACTTATCACATGGAAAACACATCTGGATTTCTATATGCGTAGTTTGGCTGGGAAATCTTCTATCACAATATAGTCTCAATTAGGGATGGGTACCGAGCCCCGGTATTAAAGGGGCCCCGGGGCTGAATTATTAAAGACCGTGGTACCGTTAAGCTCCGACGTTATCGGTCTTTTTATCGGCACTGGAGACATTTAAAATATATGTCATATGTATTATTGCTACACAAACATTATATTGGAGTTTTAGTGTCGTCAACTCCGTTTCTTATATGCAAAAAGCGTCTATGATGTATTTTTGATCTTTCCAACACACACACACATTATATTACATAAGACAGGGAATCAAATATATCGGGGCTAAGCAGCACAGAACACTTAAGGGAACACATAGCATCTCCTTCTCCACACGGCTAAGCTGCCAATAATAGCTGAAACAGAGCAATATTTGGCTTTTCTCTTTGACATTCCAGCAACACACACACACACACACACACACACACACACACACACACACACACACACACACACACACACACACACACACACACACACACACACACACACACACACACACACACACACACACACACACACACACACACACACACACACACACACACACACACACACACACACACACACACACACACACACACACACACACACACACACACACACACACACACACACACACACACACACACACACACACACACACACACACACACACACACACACACACACACACACACACACACACACACACGAGGTGTGGACAATGCTCGTTGCCAAAAGTGCAATAAGAGTTAGCATGTAAGGGCGGTAACACGAGCAATTTGTCGAAAAATTTAGCAAAAGTGCACCACATTCAGACGGAGAAATGCACCGTTTTCGACTGTCTTTCTAGTAGCTCTGATCATAAATCTATCGATTAAACGTGATCCGTCTCTTAAATGTGTGTCCACCACAGACCTTATTTCGAGTTATTTTCCAAAATCCTATGGAGAAATTGCATTGCTTTTTTTGTCGAAGGAACCCATGCGCAGCTTACTTCCGGGTTTTAGGACGCGTCACTGTGGCACTCTAGTGTCTATAGCTGGCCAGTTTAACAAAAACTGTCTGCAATTAATAAAAACCAAAAAATAAATAAAAACATTTAGCAGTCTTAGATTTACACTGGTTGAGGACACTTACCTAAGATTCCTATATTATCGTAGACTCCGAACATGCTCCTCTTCTCCGTCCACCGGTCCACCTTCTTCAGCTCGGGGATGGCATGCATCCTGATCTGACAGCATGCGCCTGAAAAAAGAACATTGTTTCAAGTCAGTCTCTTAATGTGAACATACACTACATAAAGTGCCGCTATAATTAGGACATTTAACTCAACTTTTTGTCATTTATCAAGAAAAACAGCCGATTTTTTTTACTTGTTACAGCTTCTCAAATGTGAGGATTTTGCGGCATTTCCCACAATAAATCTGGTGAGGCTACTTCCTGTTTTTATGGCACTAAACAAGAACAACCTCCCCCTTGATCTAAACCTCCTTGAATGCTTTTATGTGGCTTTTAACTTCACTTGTATATTTGCAAATGCTTTATTGAATTAGCATTCTAGCCATGCCTCATATCCCTCTATTTCATTTCCTGTTTCAAAAGTGCTGATTTGGGGTATAAAGCTTTAAAAATAAAGAATTGATAAAAAAATAAAAAAGGAGGGGGCGGAGCTCATGCAGGACCCGGCAGCTACTGTCTAAACTAAATACTGCCGTGATGAAACGCCATATCATGGATTATCAAGGATTATTTCTGAAACAGTATGGAGCTCAAAGGCTTTCTCTCTTGCCGGTTATACCACAAGGTGAGTTCCTTTTTATTTCCTGCTTCTTCACACACATGCTCTCCAGTACAGGTTAGCTCTGAGTGTTAGCGATGCTAATGTAAACACCGACCATATTACGTCCAAAACAGTCGGGCATTGTTTCTGATAGGGCTGTGGGTGTAAAGCCAGCCTACATTTCCGATATGACGTCATATCGGACGCAAATCTGGATCAGCTCCGTTGTAGCCCCATTTTTAGAGATTTGGGTACAGAGGAAAAGAGAGAGGGTTTTATTTGCTGACGCTGCGTGAGTTCCCCGACACACCGGGGACACATATTTATGTATAAAAGACATCAAAAAGTGCATTTTGCATGATAGGTCCCCTTTAACTTTTTAATTCTCCATCCGTCTGTCACTGTTTATTCTTAATTGATCCTATTTTGTAAACCACATTGGGTTGCATTTTTGGATTAAATATTCTGTACAAATAAAGTTATGTTTGTTTTTATTAATAAGATTATTATTTACAAGTATGTACATTTATTACACTGCCCTTAGGTCACATGTGTCAAACTCAAGGCCCGGGGGCCAAATAAGGCCCTTGGTGGATTTACTTTCGGCCCGCAGGATAATTTCTAATTACTATTAGATCTGGCCCGCCGGTATATTACACGCACACCTTCACTCAATCCTGAGGATTTCCTCAGCTCAGAGCCTGACCCCAAACATTGATGAACTTGCACCCAAGATGAGATGCCAAGTATCTGGCTTGAACTAGCATCACAGCAGCACACTGAGTTTAATGGATGTTTCCTTCTGCACTTTTTTTCTTGAGACAACAGGGCATGTTTGTTTTTTTCTTTGAGGGAAATTGTTTTGTTGAAGCTGTTGGCCTGTGGAAAAATGTAATCATAAGAAATGACTCAGCAGATAGAGCCATAAGAAATGAATGCAACTGATTATTTAATGTTGTTTTTACAGGCAATAATGTAAGCTTTGTTAGTTCCAGGTTTAATATGTGCAATAAGTTCATTTCAATAAGTTTTGCAATAAACATTGAACCAGTCCGGCCCTCGACTAGTACCGATTTTTTAATTTTGGCCCACTGTGTATTTGAGTTTGACACCACTGCCTTAGGTGATGTATAACGCTTTCCCATTTGTTTTTATTATTGCTTACTCTCTATGACTTGTTAATATCTACAAATATGGTTTATAACTTGAATTAATGGTGTTATTGTTTCTAGTTTTGGATCAATATGTGGTGTTTTTCTATCGCTATGACAATAAATATTGAGGGTAAAGCATCGTAATGAAAATAACTAACAAATGGACTCACTTTAGGGATGCAAAGTAATAGTTTTTCTCCAGTAAAGACACAAAACCAACGTGTTTAAGTTATAAATTAAACATTAGACTCACCTGTAGAGAAGGCCCTGGCAGTCTGACAGAAGGACGCTCCAGCCTTCAGTAACCCTGCCAGAACAGACATGTTTTCTACAAAAAACACAATAAATATCAACTTCACATAAAAGGCATTCAAATGACTCAAGTAAATATGGCTATTCGGTGATATTTATTAATGTTTTAAACGTGTCAATCAAAGAAAAACGATGCCTTTTCAAGTACATTGACCCTTAGCATTAGCTTTATCTAGCATAGTTAGCTTCAAAAAATGCATTATCTTACATTACCAGTTCCAATGTCCTGTGGCAATCTCCTGCCTCTTAAATCTGTCGTTATTGTTCCAGAAAAGCATAAATGACAGCCGTATGTGGGGATATTACACTTAAAACATTTGTTATTGAAGCGTCAACATGCTCTTAGTGGACGCTTCCATCTTACTCTGTGTCCCACAATGCACCGCGCCGGTACCGTAACGTTGTTAGAGAACAGGTACCGTAAAGCTGTAAGAGAGGCGCGCAGACAGTGGTTTGAGTCTCTGCGACTTGTTTAGCAGCCAGTAGAGGGAGGTATAGGAAGAGGAAATAGTATACAGTCTATTAGAGGGAAACAATAATGGAAAGACATCTCATACACTGGAATTTAAGTTTAAAAATATGTCTTAAAGTCTTTAAAAAATCCTAAATATATCTAATTGACATTACACAGGCTAGGGCTTGCCGGCCAGATTGCAAGTGTATCTGTTGAGGGGTCCACTTCAATTGGTTGTTGTAATAATAATCAGTGGCGTTTTTATATGTACAAAAGTGGTGGGGCACAAAAAACTTAGATGTCTATATATAAGCTTCTGCAGTGACGTGCAGTGAGGTTCATGGCTGGTGAGGCACTGACTCTTCAGGTTTACAAATATTATATTTTGACCTACTGTAAATCAAAATATAATATTATTTTCAAAAGCTTTTTTTGTCTGATGCTTCGATTAAATTTAAACAGACAGTTCAACAAAAGGATACCCAAAAAATGTAATTTTATCATTTACATATTGAATTGTTCTCTCTTAGTAAGATCCCATTTTCAATACAATTGCGGTCTTACCTTGATTTGAAGATGAAGTCCATTTGCCTATCCTTCTGGACAAAAACTCTATTCCTTTTTTGTAAAAGTCCTCCTTATCTTCTAGTAGTTTCAAAAGTTGAATCATAAATCTAATCGATAGATTTATGATTCAAAAATTATAAAAGTAGGGTAGACATGTGGATATTATCCGGCTGAACATAGTTTATGGGCGCTGTACGCAATATAGGCGTAGTTCTGTTAGTATAAGATAATAAGATGTACTTTGTTGATCCAAAATCGGGAAATTGTGTTGTTATGAAATAAAATAAAAAATATTTTTTTAATTTCTAACTTTATTTTATTTTTTTACATTTTCGGCGCCCCCCATAGATTGATGCGCCCTTATCATTCGCCTATACTGCCTATGCCTAGGGCCGCTGGGCCGGCCCTGCAGCCATGTGTCTCAGATCAAATAGCTCAAGTTGTTAGGTATCTGCTCAGGTGTTATGAGCTGATAGGTTCATTCCCCAGTAAAGACAAATGTTTTTGAAGTCCAACACCCAAAGGACTGTGTCAAAACTCTAGGAAACTATGCAGAATTGTCTCTGATAAAATAGCTCAAGCTGTTAAGCACCTCCTCTGGTGTTTTCAGGACATGGGTTCAATTCCCTAGACCAGGGGTGGGGAACCTCCGGCCCCCGGGCCGTACCAAACGGGCGAGACCATTTGGTACGGCCCTCGAGGTAATTTATAAACACACGCAAAAAAGAAAAAAATTAAAGAAATCTAGACCGCAAAAAAATTAAACAAGCGAGTGCCTGTTTTTCCTGGCCAAGGTCAGGGTCCTTGAACACACCACGAGCCTAACGTGTCATCACGTGGTATATGTCTCGTCTGACAGGGGTGCAGTTCTGACGGAGAGCACCAGAACGCCGCTCCGCCATTTCACAAATTGCAGTACTGTACCAATAAGGAGCCGTACACATGCCGCAGTTTTTGCGTGGCTGTGTCTTTAGTTGTAAGCCCAGTGGCGATCTGTTCATCTGACATACTGATCATACAGTCAATAACTTTGTTGTTATTTGCATCTGGTTAGCTAGCTATGCTAACGAATATATGAAGCTTTTTCTCCAACCAGGTAAAGGCACATCTTTATATCTTATATGACCATTATAGTTATACAAAAATAAGAGAATAATGTAAACAGGTATAAAATAAAATAAATTGTTATTAATAAACAAGAATACAGTTTAAAAGGAGAGTGATTTGTAAAATATCCATAAAGAAAAAGAAATCTGCTTCCAGTTCTGTTTCATATGGGTGTTGAGAGATGTATCCATAGATCTCTTAATGTTGCTCTCAAAGTGCACCAGATTGATGCTTTTAACTTCAACATTTAAAAAAAAATCTTCGCAGGGGAGCATGCCCCCGGACCCCCCTAGAGGAGGTTGGGTCCCCCCCCCACTTAAATCATCTTCACATGGATAGGAAACTAAATGCATTTGCACACATCTTGTGTCCATATCTCTCTGTTTTGGTGGTCATGCCACAACCGTGCACGTGCATGCATGCGCGAGTCATGGTAAGATATCTGGATTAAGATATCTGGCTTGTCGAATTGTCTCACATCAAATAGGTGAAGTTATTAGGAACCTGCTCAGGTGTATTTAGGACATGGGTTTGATAATAAGTAATTTAAACCTTTAAACAATTTAAGAAGTGTTTAATTTTAAGAGTATTTTTGGGAGAAAGCCTTGTTTCTCTGCAGGTTGAGGAAGGGAAAGTTTCAAAACTGATCTTCTTACTCTTTCTGGTTCTGTTTGTCGATTGCCACCTGAGATGGTCCAGATGTCGACTTCAAACGTTGCAACGCGGCGGGTTCGAACCCTGCCTGAGGTATGCTACACGGGAATGTATGTGATGAATGTGTGTGATGAATGTGTGTGATGAATGTGTGTGATGAATGTGTGTGATGAATGTATGTGATGAATGTGCGTGGGGGGGTTCAATTGTCTGCTCTAAAAAACAAAAACTTCAAATGCTGCGATAATAAAATCTGTTCGCCGAGAAACCGCGTCGATTTCAACTTGCGAATTTCAACTTGCGAATTTCAACTTGTGAATTTCAAAATGTACCACATCGTCCAACAAAGAGGAATCATACAAAACGTAAGTCAAAGTGAGCCTTGGTGGTTGAGCTAGCTAACTTAGCTAGCTTGACGGGCATTTTTTAAATATGCTTTTTAAGGCTTTGTCCCAACAAACTATACTATGACTCTTTACCGTATCATGACATTTTCGACAACATTTTGATTGTTTGACATACTATACAATGCCTCTGTTTTAATCACTAATAGCTGTTTTTAGCTGCATAAAAAACATAAAAACCTGCATATATCGAGGCTGTAATTTAGTCCTTGTCCCTTCACACAGACTCAGACAAAAAATATATGTCATATGTATTATTGCTACACAAACATTAATTGCAGTCTTAGTGTCGCCAACTCCGTTTCTAATATGTAAAAAGACAAAAAATTGCGTCTATGATGTATTTTTTGTATTTCCGATCTTTCCAATCCAGACGAGATCTCTCTCCCCCGCCTGCTTGCTATGAAGGAGATATGGTGCAAAATGCGAGAGCTTGTAAAACCTGATGTGAGCACTTGCAGAAAAAAACTCTGAGCTTGTGTGCATACATTTACACTTGTATAAAATATCCACGTATCTGTGAACCACATTTGAAGTCACAGAAGAAAAAAAAAAAGTTTTGTAGCTTGTAGAAAAAAAATTAACTCAGTGATGAAATGTTCACTTGCAGAAAAATATATATTTTTTAATTTTGTAATGACTGATTTGAGAGGTTGTAATAACCAAGTTGCAGTTGTAATGGAAAATGTATTAAAACATATATATTTTCCTGCAAGTGAACATTTCATCACTGAGTTCATTTTTTTCCTACAAGCTACAACACTTTTTTTTTTCTTCTGTTACTTCAAATTTGGTTCACAGATACGTGGATATTTTATACAAGTGTAAATGTCACTATGCACACAAGCTCAGATTTCTTTTCTGCAAGTGCTCACATCAGGTTTTACAAGCTCTCGCATTTTGTACCATATCTACCTTCATACTTGCGAGGGGGCGGGGCAGTTACACACGCACAGCTGCTACATGCATGCAACACACACACACACACACACACACACACACACACACACACACACACACACACACACACACACACACACACACACACACACGCAGAGACTGATACTTTCAGTCTTACTGTTGTTAAGAGCTGGGTGGAATATTTTGTCATTTTCAAAGAAACAAGAACAGCAAAACTGATCTTTGTCTTAATTTCATTATTACTAGGCGTCAGTGAGTATGTGGAAATTCAAAATAGACAACGACATTATTAAACATTAGATTCTATTAAATTCACATATGACCACACGCAGAGGAGAGTGTTTTACTGTAAATGTGGAGTGTGTGCACCTTTAATCTACATTATGCTGCAAGGAAATGCAGACGTTTGACTCTCTTTAACTTGTGCAAAACCATATTGCTGAATTATCTTGGATCAACATTTGAGAAAAAGGATGCACAATTAAAAATGATCATGCAAAAATCAATATGTGGAGAAGATGAAGCATTTGTTTAAGACGTAATGCAAGGTTAGGTGACAGGTTTCTGCAAAATCTAGAGATAAATATTGTTCATGTGAAAAAACTGTTTTTCCGCCACAGTCATGTTTCCATCTTCATCTTGATAGCGCTGACCAAAATGCTGATTGAACACAATTTTAAAACCATTCTCAGCAAATATGCGCTCGGCTTCCTCTGCCAGTAAATCACAATGGAAGATTATATGTATTCACCTACACATATGCGTGATACAATCATATCATTTATTGAAAATAAACCACAGCAGTGTTTATAGTAATTCAGAAAGTCTGAAACCTTAATTGCTAATTAAAGGTCAATGCTGATGTTAAATCAGATAATTAAACAAGTGTACATGACAAAAGATGTAATACAGACTAACAGATTCACACAGGAACAAACTACTCATCTGCTGAATTTCTACAGAAGCAGGCTAATTTGCCTATTTTCCAAACCATGCTATTAACATAATAATCTGAATTACTTCAAGTGCAGAGATCAATTGTTTCCATATGAGGGGCATTTTCCATTACAGTACCTTCACATCATATGGAGGGGATTGAACATGATCTGAAGGAAAGACCACCTCACACTGAGTGACACACACATGCCCCCAACACAGGTACAGTTCAGACTAAAACTTCTGGGGAGAAAACACCAAACTGAAGCCACAACAATAAAAAATATGACAGCGATTTGAATGAGTTTGGTGTGAGTAGGACGTTGTGAGTGGATGAGAAGAAAAATGACTTGTGTATCACTC